TGGAAGACCCTTTATCTATAGTATCAATACGCAGAGTCTGCGTTCTTTTCTTCCCAATTCTTGCCTTACTCTCATGAACAAGATAATGTGAAACATAAAACTCTACGGTACATTTATAATCCTGCAAAATGGACAAACAAAAAAATTGCACCTCAACACCACCACCACAGCTAAGTCATAATCACAAGCTAAGGATTTTAAACAAAATAAAGAAAAACAAAAATAACCTCAAACTTGAAACAATAATTCCCCCTTTCTTTAGTTATTTTCCTCCCTCGAGCCTCGTACACTTTCTTCGGATCTTTAACAGCTCCCACCAACAGACAGAGCATCGATTCCCATTGATTTCTATTGATCGAGTCGCCAACAAACACTAACCTCTTCCCTCTGATTAACTCCAGCATTCTTGCTGCATTAAATCTACAAATCATGTATGCAAGAAGAATATTCATTTAGATAAAATCCAGCAGAAAGCTACATACATAAATACTAAAGACCAGAATCACTGATAAATATGTAAAACTTACTTAGGAATATCACAATCTTGAGGCTGCCACCTCCAATTCATGTACTCTTTATCCAATCTCCCATTGGCTTGGCAGTTAAAACCTTCATCTATAAAGGGACATGTAACATTTGTGTACAAAGGGTAGCTTGAGCTTCCATCTAAAGCCCACTTCCCTTTTGTGACATGACAATTTTGCTCACTTTTCACACCAATAGCAACATGGGGTTCAAATTCAATATCCCTTTTTCCCCCAATTTTTTCAACAATACTACTATCTACAGAAATATTATCACCGAAAGAGGTGAAACTAGAGTTACCAGCATCATTTACCACTGTTACTGTAGTAGCCTTTTCACTGCCCCCTTCCGCAATTTTTGCAGAATCACCACTTTTCGAACTAAATTCAACTTCTCCATGATGGGTTTCCGTAAAGATTGGATTTTTATCCACGTACTGTGAAGAATTGCTGTGGAGAGATGTGTTGGTGAAGTAAAGATTAAGGAGGGTTGGTGAGGACGACGTGGGTTTGAAAACCCAAGTCGAGAAAAAGATGAGGAATACTGCGGAGAAGGAGATTGTGAGTGAGAAAGCTAGAAATCTGATGGGCTTCACAGAAAAACTTGTCTGTTTTTCCATATTTTCTTGTTTCTTTTTGCCCTTTACTGTGACTCGAGTCGAGCAAATGGAGTTGTTTAACAAGATAGAGTCAAACATGCAGTGAGAGAGAGAGAGAGAGAGAGAGGCAATGTGAGGCAATGTGTTATTCAGTAACTGCTGGTTTTTACCATTTGGTTTTTTTTT